GTATTGGTCTCTGAAGAGAGGGACACTTGGACCTCCTTCCCTCGTCACTCCTGGGGAAGACCACAGCCTGCAACCTGCAAAGGACTAAATCAAGGGAAGTTTAAGGAGGGAAGTAGGATGTAAAGCAGGTAAAAGCCAGGGATCCCAGTTTCTACCTGAAACCAAACAGGAGCACACTGAGCTTCGGGTAGAAACATTATACTGGAGAGTAAGCATATATATAAACATATATAAGACTCTCGAGAATGGCCCTGAAGTCTCCTTCAAGTAACTGCTGCTCATCTCTCAGATATGAGGGTGCTTATTATGTTATTTCCTACTCTTTTGTTATTTTTTTCTGAAAATTAAAATACTATATAATTTAAAAGGTATGCTTAAAATGAAACCATTAATCTTTTTAACATAAACACTGTGCATATTATTTCAGAGATTTCTGCCTATTTTGGAACTGGCTCATCAGTGACTTACAGTTTTCAAGAATATTATTCCTTAAGTGCAAACTCCAGCTCCTACGCTGCCTCATTCCACAGGGACACAACCTTAGCCAGAGAAATGATCGTGTTCAGCTTCCAAACAGTGCAAACCCCAAGCTTACTGCTGTATGTGGACTCCTTCTACAAGGAATACATGTCAGTCATCCTTGCCAAAAACGGTAAGTATCATTTTACAGTTACAAAAGTAAATCATATCATTACAAAAACAAGCAAACCCATTGTCGGAATAGATTCCGACTCAGTGACCCTATAAGACAAAGTAGATCTGCCCTATAGGATTTCCAAGGCTACATAATCTTGACGAGAGCAGACTGCCGCATCTTTCTCCTGCTGAGCAGCTAGTGGGTATGAAACACTGACCTTTCAGAAAGGAGCTGAGTGCTTTAACCACTGCACCACCAGGGCAACCATTGCTGTTGTTGTTGTTGTTGTCAGGTGCCATTGAGTCGGTTCCCACTCGTAGTGACCTTATGTACAACAGAAGAAACACTGCCTTGTTCCGCACTATGCTCATGATCATTGTTATGCTTGAGCCTATTGTTGCAGCCACTGTGTCAATCCATCTCACTGAGGGTCTTGCTCTTTTTTGCTGACTTTCTGCTTTACCAAGGATGATATCCTTCTCCAGGGACTGATCCCTCCTGATAACATGTTCAAAGTATGTGAGACAAAGATTTGCCATCCTTACATCTAAGGAGCGTTCTGGCTGTACTTCTTCCAAGACAAATTTATTCATTCTTTTGACAGTCCATGGTATATTCAATATTCTTCGCCAGCACCATAATTCAAAGGCATCAGTTCTTCTTCAGTCTT